ATCCATCCATCCATCCATCCATCCATCCATCCATCCATCCATCCATCCATCCATCCATCCATCCATCTATCTATCTATCTATCTATCTATCTATCTATCTATCTATCTATCTATCTATCTATCTATCTATCTATCTCAAGAAAGAAAGAAAGAAAGAAAGAAAGAAAGAATGAAAGAAAGAAAGAAAGAAAGAAAGAAAGAAAGAAAGAAAAGGAAAGGAAGGAAGGAGAGAGAGAAAATATAAAGAAGAAAGAAAGAAAGAAAGAAAGAAAGAGAAAGAAAGAAAGAAGTTCTAAAGAGCCGTTTTTCACACTTACGACCGTTGCAGCATCCCTGTGGTCTAGTGATCACAATCCAGATGCTTGGAAACTGACTCATATTTACGATGGTCACAGTGTCCCCAGGGGTCATGTGCTCCCCTTTTGTGTCCTTCTGACCACCAAAGTCCATGGGGGAAGCCGGACTCATTTAACAACCGTGCCACCCACTTAACCAGCGCAATAACTGTGGCAAGGAAGGTCGTAAAATGGGGCAAAACTCACTTAACAACGGTTTTGCTTAGCAGCAGACATCTGGGGCTCAGTTGTGGTCGTACCTCGAGGACTACCTGTACAACGTTTGTGCAGAAACTAGCTGAGTTTCCAGCCAGCTGAGAAATGTGCACCATGGTTAGACAAACGGGCTGGGGTTTTGTTTTTTTTTGTTTTGTTTTTTTTGCTAATGCAGCTTGCAAAAATCTGTTTCAGATTCCTGAGCGTCTCCTGAGCAGATGGCTATCTCTGCCTTTTGTTCGCTTTTTCTTCCCAGAAACAGCAACTCCAACTTAGTTGTGTTTCCCCCCCCCAAAAAAAAGATATTGGCTAAGCTCCTTCCCTGTCCCAAAAGACAATTTGCTCCCCCCCCCCACAAACACACACAAGCATTTTTTAAATTTATATGCCTGGAGTCAGGGATGGGCCATCTGCCCTGATTTAAAATTAGCCCTTGCCTTAAGCTGAGTTGCCCCTTCCCCTATTCAGAAGAAAGAGAGAGAGAAAGAGAGGGAGGGAGAAAGAGACAGAGACAGAGAAAGAAAGAGAGAAAGGGAGAGCTAGTAAGAGAGAGAGAAAGGAGGAAAGACAGAGAAAGAGAACGAGAGAAATTGAGAAAGAAAGAGAAAGAGCAAAAAGGAGAAAGTGTGAGAAAGAAAGTGAGAAAGAGAGAGAGAGAAAGGGAGGAAGAGAAAGGGAGAAAGGGAGAGAAAATGAGCAGGAGAAGGAGAGAGAAAAAAGAGAGAAAAAGAATGGGGAAAGGGAGAAAAAGAGAACGAGAGAAATGGAGAAAGAAAAAGAGAAAGAGAAAAAGATGGAAAAAGAGAAAGAGAGAGAAAGAAAGGGAGAAAGAGAGAGAAAGGGAGAAGGAGATGGAAAAAGAGAGAAAGGGAGAAAGAAAGTAAAAACAAAGAGAGAGAAAGAAAGGCGGAAAGAGAGAAAGAGAATGAGAGAAATGGAGAAAGAGAGAGAGAGAGAAAGGGAGAGAGAAAGGGAGAAAGAGATAGGGAGAAAGAGAGAAAGGGAGAAAGAAAGTGAAAAAGAGAAAGAGAAAAAGATGGAAAAAGAGAAAGAGAGAGAAAGAAAGGGAGAAAGAGAGAGAAAGGGAGAAAGTAAAAACAAAGAGAGAGAAAGAAAGGCGGAAAGAGAGAAAGAGAATGAGAGAAATGGAGAAAGAGAGAGAGAGAGAAAGGGAGAGAGAAAGTGAAAAAGAGAAAGAGAGAAAGATGGAAAAAGAGAAAGAAAGGGGGGGGAGAGAGAGAGAGAGAGAGAGAGAGAAAATGAGAAAGAAAGAATGACCGAGAGAAAGAGAAAGAGAGAGGGAAAGAAAGGGAGAGAAAAGGAGAGAAGGAGAAAGAGAGAGCAAGGGAGAAGGAGAGAGAGAGAGAAAGAGAGACAGACAGACAGACAGAGAATTGAGGTCCACACATCTTCACATATGCTGGCTGGGGAATTCTGGGAGTTGAAGTCCAACCTTTTCAAGTTGCCAAGTTTGAGAAACCCTGATTTAACTGATTCCTCCAAACTTAATTGCTTTGTAAATTACCCTTGCCAGTCGGCGCTTCCAAATTTTTTTTAAAAAGTCTAGTCTCCAGCCTCCCTCGACTACAGATTTATCACCAAAATCTCTTTGAATTAAGTGCAAGAATGGAAGAAGAGGCCAAATCAATTAGTCACGCCTTAAAACAGGATAAAATTAAATTACCCAGGAATTTCTCCATCTTTTCTGTCTTGAGGGTTTTTTCCAGGAACTGACACTTAATAATAATAATAATAAAAAAGCCATCCAACATACAGCAAACGGTGTCATAAAGAGTCACAGGGCTCCGAGAAAAAACAGAGTTTTGCAGAATTTTGATCCGCACAGCGTCTGTTTTTGAGCTAATTTCTTCTCAGTTTTTGACTCCAGGCTTGTTAACTTTCCTAATTCTGAACTGTTACCGTCCCTTCACAAATGGAGGATCACTGCATGTAAGTCAAACTTAGCAAAAGAAATACAGGTAGTTCTCTACTTACGACCGTTCATTTAGTGACTGTTCGTAGATATCGCGGCACTGAAAAAAGCTATTTATGATCAGTTTTCCACACTTACGACCGTTGCAGCATCCCCACGGTCATGTGATCAAAATTTGGAAGCTTGTCAACTGACTCATATTTATGACAGTTGCAGCGTCCGGGGGGGGGGGGGTGTCACATGTTTCTAATTTAAGAACTGCAGAGACTCACTTAACAACGGACTCGCTTTGCAACAGAAATTTTGGTATTCCATCGTGGTCGTAAATTGAGGGCTACCTCCAGAAGCAATGCAGTTGTGTTGCTTGCCTGATGTATACTTATTTACATTAAATTTCTAATTTCTGAGAAATCTCACAGGAGCTGGATAGGGACAGCCAAAGGCCCTAATGGTGGCCCCGGGGGGCGGGCGGGGCTAAAATGCCCATTTCTGCTCTAGGAGAAGTCTACCTGGATTTTTTTCACGTGGAAATTAAATTAATAAGTTGGAAAACTTCTGAAGAGTTTGCTTTTTTTCGGCGCACCAGGGAAATTAGTTCATTTATTGCAGGAAGATCAAAGGGCGCCGTAAATAAAAATACGAATTATTCTATGACATTATGCACTCAGGTTTAATTAGAGTTACACATTCAATAAAAAGGGAAACCAGATTGATGTTTGCAAACCAGGTTGTTATGTCCCCAAATTGCTGATGGCGGCTAGTTTTTGCTTTAAACGGAGCGATAATTACAGGACAATCATGTTTATCCAAAGCGAATGAGCATTCATTGGTCTGCAATCTCCAACTGACTCATTGATTCCCCCCCATCCCGTGCCAACAAAATTTCTACACAATGACAAGCACAGCAGGGAGATGTTTCCTGCTGGGTAAAGAAGGAAGAAGGTCAAAAAAGTCAAAAAAAAGTTTGACTAGCCTTGATTCTTTGTTTATGCGGGTGCAATGTTGTTATGGTTACTTTTCCAGTTTGGGGTAGTGGAGAACTTAGATACTGGGTGGCAGTGAGTTCTAGTTCTGCCTTAGGCATGAAAGCAGGCTGTGTGGCCGCTAGATACACACCTTCACATTCGCTCAAGGGACACACAATGCAAAAGCCCACCAAATATTTCCCACTGGGCTTGATAGATAATTGGGAGATTGTATCCTTCCTTCCTTCCTTCCTTCCTTCCTTCCTTCCTTCCTTCCTTCCTTCCTTCCTTCCTTCCTTCCTTCCTTCCTTCCTTCCTTCCTTCTCCTTCTCCTTCCCCTTCAGTTCCTTCTCCTTTTCCTTCTTTTCTATCTTCTCCTCCTCCTTCTGATATTTTTTCCTTCTCCTTCTTCTCCTTCTCTTTCTC